ATAAATATTATTTTTAAGTATATATTTTTTCTTGTGTTTTCCTTGGGGGTCAAGACTTTGCTCTAGTCAAGGTCAAGAGGTTTCTTAAATCAAGCCCAAAAGCCTCAGCTAGATGATAATGGTCCTCCCTTAATCACATCCACATCCCCTTCACCTTCAGGGGGTATCCCTGCTCAAGGTAGGCAACTCCCTTTCTTGTCTTCAGAAAACACTGTGGTTATTTCCACTTCTCAGCACTTGTTCATGATATATGCCAAACCAAGTTCTGTTTCTCCAAATCTTATGACAAATACAGTGGCAATTAACCTATTTCCAAAGAACTTGAGTTTTTAGAAAAATCCTAAAGAAGTTCTTTTAAAAACCCTCATTTCTAGAGTGGCCATGACCCAATTAGTGGTTCCTGAATATGGTAACACAAACATAGCAATTACACTAATTTCAGGAAAATTTGAGAATTTAAATCCATTTTACCTTAAGAATAAAATATACCAGGTGGTCCCTTAATAAGGTGAAATGACTATTTATTCTCAAATGTTGTTGGCTCTGGTATAAAGTAAAACAATGAATGAAAATGTGATCACTTCCTGCAACAACGAGACCTTCCTATGACAATTAGACCGTAAGACCTTTTCACTGTCTGCTGTAATAGAAACACTTACAGCTCATTAGCCCCTGTTGGGCTTCCAAGAGTACACTGTAATTTTTTTTTTTTTAATGTTCTGGGAACAACTATTTTGAGAAAATTAATGTAGTGTCTTACAAGCCAAGGGAGGAGAATGGTTTTAAAGGGGAGCATGGAAAACACGAGATTAAGTTTCCCTCTCCCAAAACTATGGTGCCATGACAAGGGTAATATTAAATATAATATATAGAAAAAAAAAGCTATGCAGGCATAAAAAGCATACAAATCATGTACACACACATTCAAAAATTAACATCACCACAACAAACGCACTTTTGTGTCAAAGAGTAAATTGCAGTAGGGAAGAGTCAGGAGTTTGAAGGTGAATAATCTAGGTTTTGATTGGGGTCCCAACAGTTAATAGTGAGATTTTTAACAAAATTTGAAAATTTATCTATCTGAGTTGCTGTGAAGAGTAAATGATTTTACATATGTAATATTTTTTAAAAAATAACAGTGTTGCTGTAAATTCATGTCATAAATTTATCAATGTTGTGAAAACTGGACTGTAAGGGGGAAAGAGCAGGGGCATTAGTAATAGGCGTTCTTGCCCAGCTGCGGTGGCTCACTGGTTGAGTGTTGACCTATGAACCTATGAACCAGGAGGTCACAGTTCAATTCCCAGTCAAGGTACATGCCTGGGTTGCAGGCTCAATCCCTAGTGTGAGGCGTGCAGGAGGTGGCTGATCTCTCTCTCCCTCTCCTTTCCTCTTTGAAATCAATAAAAATACATTTTAAAATAATAATAGGAGTTCTCAGTTACTGAGCGTTTACAATCAGCCAAGCACTGTACTAAGGGCTTTTCTTAAGTTCTCTCATTAATTCCTCATACCTACCCAATGTGGTCAAAGCTATATTAGATGAAACCATGGGAAGTAACCATTTCTGTGCATCAAAAATGATCACTTATCAGCAATTTCATATGGCTTAAACTATCATCTGCCCAGATTGGAGAGTGTAAAACACAGAGAGACTAAGTGACCTAAGTTAAAATAGCCTAGTAAAGGCAGGTTTACAAGCCATACAAGTTTATGTCAGTGACTAACATGCTATAAATTCCCAGCTAGATGGCTGGTCTAAGAGTAAGGAGGTGTAACCTCTAAGCTTCAATCAAGAATGATTTGCATGGTATTAGAGAATATACAAAGTCAAGAAATGATGCCAAAGCAAATTCAGCAAAAAAAAAAATAAATGCTTATATCAATTAAAATAGCTCATGTTTATTTCTGCTTCTGGGATTACCCTTCTCCTCAATGAATTCTTATTCAATAAATATTTATTCAAGGTCTGACTCAATTTCTAATGTCCACCTGGATGGAGGAGCTTCTTTTCTACCCCTCCCCTCATTCTTACCAACTGGAATTCAACTTTTTTTTAAAGAATTTTTTTTGTTGATTTCAGAGAGGAAGGGAGAGAGAGAGGGAGAGGGAAAGGGAGGGGGAGAGAGAAACATCAATGAGGAGAGGGAATCACTGGTCGGCTGCCTTCTGCACTCCCCCTACCGGGGGACCGAGTCCGCAACCCCGGAAATGTGCCCTGACCAGAATGGAGCCCTGACCTCCTGGTTCATCAGTAGCTGAGCCACGAGGGCTGGGCTCATCTTTCTTTTTAATAGCAGTTTGACTTTTAATATATCTGATTACTCTCAACAAAAGTAAAAGTTTCTTGAAGAAAGCTCAATAAATGTTCAATTTGAGGTGCATACTAAGTCTACCGCATATGAAATGTAATAGGAATAAATAATCTAAGGAAATGGATGATAAATTCTTCCCTGGTCTCACCGGGTTAAATGTTCTCTTTCATCTGAACTCATCTGGAAACTGCCTTATATTATTACTTACAGTTTCATACGATATGCTAGAGGCCTTGTCTCCGGAACTACAGTTTAAGCTTCTCAACGGCAAAGATGCTTATTTGACTTCACACACTGCCCGGCAAATGGCTTAAAGTCAACAGACCTTTCATTAATGGCATGGAAAAGGAGCAGTTTGGAGGAAAGTCCTTGAGGAAGAAAATGAAGCAAGAGAGGAGCACAGCCAAGGAGAAGGGGCGCTGGTGCGTGAACACCTGTTTCTGGGAGCTAAGAGCTGCTACCGTTCAGTCGGGGTACACCCCGCCGCTGTTTTTCTAAGAGGGGCGGGAGGAAATCGCCAGCGCGGCCGCCCATTGGCTGCGAGGCCAGACCGCAGTGCCCTCGGGGCCCGGACGGAGGAGCGCTGGCCTGCGAGCCGGCCTCTGACCGACAGGGGGAGCCCTGCGCGCGCCGGCTCCGCCCCGGCCCGCCCCGCCCCGCCCTGCGCGCCCCGCGCCCTCCCCTCCCCGCCCCCCGCCTCCCGGCGCCACGCCAGCCCCCGGCCCCAGGCCAGTGCCTCGCGGGCCGGCGACCCGCAGCGCGCTGGCCGCCCCGCCCAGCCCCGCCCCGCCCCGCCTGGCTCCGCGGCGGGACGGGTAACGGTTACGAAGCACTTTCGCGCCGCGATTTCTGCTTAGTCATTGTCTTCCAGGAAACGCTTCCTCAGTTGGGAGTCAACTCTCCTGCGGCGGCCGCAGCAGCAGGAGCCGCAGCACCAGCGCGTCCTCCCCGGGCCGCCGCTCCGCCGCCGGCCTCCCCGGGCCCGAGCGCAGGCCGAGGTCCCGCCGCGCGGGGCAGGCAGCCGCGCGCCCGGCTCTCCGGCCTCGGGCTCTGTGTCTGCGGGGCGGCCTCCTTCCCCGCCTGCGGCCGCTGCCATGGGCACCGACAGCCGCGCGGCCGGGGCGCTCCTGGCGCGGGCCCGCACCCTGCACCTGCAGACGGGAAACCTGCTGAACTGGGGTCGCCTGCGGAAGAAGTGCCCGTCCACGCACAGCGAGGAGGTGAGGGCGGGCGAGCGTTGCCAGCGGAGACGCGGGGCTCGGGGCGGGCCGCGGGCGGGCGGGCGGGCGGGCGCGGGGCTCCGAGGGCGGTCGGGCGCGGTGCGCACCTGGGCTCCGCCCGCGGGAGGAGGCTGAGGCCGCGGTGCCCGCGACTTCGTGCCCAAAGCTGCTGTTGGGGGCAGCGGGTCTTTAAAAACTTGGCAGGTGCAACTTTACGGCGAGGGGTGCCTCCATGCGCGCTTCTGGCTGCACTCCCAGCCCTCCAAGGTGTCGGATCCCTCTCCCGGCTGTGGGGCCAGGGGAGGCCAGTCCGTCGCTCTGCCCCGCTCTCTTCCCACGGCGCGTTCAGGTGAAAAATAGTCCAGAGATTCGTTTTTGGAGGAATCAGATGAAGTAGTAGCAATCCGCTGAGCTTGTAGGATGTTGACAATAGTTTGTCTGTTGCTGTGAGACAAGTGAGTACACACTCAAATTCGGCTTTGAAACAAAGTGTATGTTTTTCTTGCCGAGGAGTAATCTGAGTTTCTTTGCCCAGAGACTAATCACTGGTTTGAAGTGGCGGAGGTCAATGTGGAATCCTCCACTCCTTACATTTCAGAGCGGACAGTAAATCATTGACTCTGCACGAATAATTGCGGAGGCACCTTGGTGGCCTGGGACAGTTTTCAAACAAACAAACAAAATAAAACTTCGATTTAGGAGCTCTTATAACTTTGAGAAAGTTACTCTCTCTGTAGCCTTAAAGTTGGATAATAGCTTCTTCAGCAGGCTGCTGTGAGGATGAAAATATATGTGAAAACGCTCACCATATAGGCATTTTATCTCCCTTATTTTCTGGTTCAATCGGAAAGATAAATATTTTTTTAATAATTGTTTATTTTTCGCCCTAACCGGTTTGGCTCAGTGGATAGAGCGTCGGCCTGCGGACTGAACGGTCCCGGGTTCGATTCCAGCCAAGGGCATGCACCTTGCTTGCGGGCACATCCCCAGTAGGAGGTGTGCAGGAGGCAGCCGATCGATGTTTCTCTCTCATCTAGATTTCTAACTCTCTATCCCTCTCCCTTCCTCTCTGTAAAAATCAATATAATATATAAAAAAAATAATTGTTTATTTTTCAGTTACAATTGACACACAATATTATATTAGGTTCAGGTGTACCAGATAGTGTTTAGACATTATGTCACTTAGGAAGTGATCACGCGGATCAGTCTGGTGCCCATCTGACACCGATAAAACAAATCTTGATTAAAAGAAAAAAAATGCCCTAAACTGTATCAGAATGTGACGTTATCAGCTGTGTTCCTAGGCAGTTTCTGCTCTTTAATATAAGATGTTGGTGATATACTCTACAGCAGCACATGACAGCCATCTCAGTATGTGCTGGACCTGTGCACAGGTCTGGTATTCGGAGTGAGTGCTCATCTGGAGATGAGAGCCCTTGATTGTAACTTTAAAAGGAATCAGGGTGCTCGCTTAGGCTGCACGTATACTAAAATTGGAACGGTACAGAGAAGATTAGCATGGCTTCTGTGCAAGGATGACACGCAAATTCGTGAAGCGTTCCATATTTTAAAAAAAAAAAAAAAAAAGGAATCAGAATCCTGTACCATATTGTGTCCAGGTTCCAGCTGTTTGCATGTCTTGTTTTGTTCAAACCTCCCCAATTGGACTATTTCTCCCAAAGGTAAATATTTCTATATTTAGTTCTAGACCTTTAATTTCCTCCATTGCTGCTGGTTCAGTATACCATTTTGCATGTCTATTGATAATATTAAGTGAAATTTTCTCTTATCTCACTACAACACACTCTAGAGTAGTGGCTTTCAAAGTCTTTTACTGTGAACGCAGTAAGAAATGCATTTTTCTTGCAACACAGTTAAAAATACTAGTTTATAGTGTATGTATATATGGTTTCATGAAGATACTAACCTTTATTATATACTGTGTATTCTGATTTTTTTCCTATCCTAATTTGTTTTTTAAAACTTACTTTCTTAATGCAGTTATGAGTCACACCCCACAGTTTTAAAAACATCGTTCAAAAGATTAATTATGGTTCATGTGTTTTATTTTGGGTGCAGCATAAGAGGGAAAAAGTAAAGAAACTAGAAAATATTTGAGGAACACTTGAGATATGGCAGCATATTGTAGGGAAAATATACATGTTTTGTTTCCATGTGAAAAATAACTTCATGATAACTAGGGCTTCAAATTGGGATATATTACTTAAGCAGTTTAACCTCATTGAATAAAGAAACTAAATAAATCACTCATGACTGAGAACACTTACACATTGAATAGAGAGTTTAATTAAAATTTCTAAAAGTTCTCTTCTAGTGTTGATACTTGCTTTGTTTTTATTCTGTGATCTCTGCCCAGATGTTTTGTTACACTAGAATTTTATGAAAGCAGATTTTTTGTTGTTAATCCTCACCAGAGGATATTTTTTCCATTGATTTTTAGAGAGAATGGAAAGGGAGAGTGGGGGGGTGGGGCGGGGAGAGAGAGAGAGAGGGAGAGAAACACGAATGTGAGAGAGAGACATCAATTGGTAGCCTCCCGAATGCGCCCTATAGGGGTCCGTGTCCTGCGACCCTTCAGTGTGGGCTCTAACCGCTGAGATGCCGACCAGAGAGAAATTAGATCTTTATTGATATATTTGTATTGATTTTAGAGAGAGAAATATATAAATATCAATTTATAGAGAGAAGCATTAGCCCCCTCCTGCACACCCCCTCTTGGGGATTGAGCCGGCAACCTGGGCATGTGTCCTGACCAAGAATCAAACCGGTGACCTCTTAGTGCACAGGACAACACTCAGTCAAATGAACCACACTGGCCGGGCAGATCTTGTGTTTTAAATGGACCGTTATAGGACTGTTTTGCCCAGTTATTTGTTGTAAGGGTGTTTTAATGTACCCCGCGAATCACAGAAGGACGCCTCAAGAAGTCGAATTAAAGAGTCACATTTATTGCAATCCGGGACTATGAGGGGCCATTTTGCTTTCCCAAATCTCAGAGTAATAAGATGGTCACAGCTCCAAGGTTATATAGGCAAAAAATCACAAAGGTATTGATTACATCCCAGGGTTTGGAATGAGGAACCTGGTTCGCAAAAAAAGCAGTTTACAGAAGCAGAAACAGCATGTTATCTAAATTACAGTTTTGGGTCTAGAGCCCTCTGACCTTGGGATAACTGTGCTGTCCTTCCCAGGTAAAGGAAAATGTGCTTTCTAAGACCAGTATGACCACAACCCATGGGATATTCACATTACAATCAATAAGGCATTTAATCGAATGGGATGATTTATATAATTCAGAAAATCAAAATAACCTGTCCATTGTTAAACAAAGTAAATAGGTACATAAGCCAAACAGCGGGGTTAAAGTTAAACTATAATTTCTACCTGAGATGGTTGCTACCATACTTCAAGGGTAGTTGACCAGTTGAATGATATGCTATTTTTTAAACTCTTATACAACTGCAGATTTACTGATACACTACATTGTAATGATACTTATCTTCAGTGATACTATGTAGGGGTGTGTGTTGGTGGGGGGGGGGGGTGCTGGTAAGAATGTAGAAAATGAAGAACAAACAGTACCAGGTTAATGTTCAATTGATACAGATAACAAGTAGAAGATTAAAAATCACTAGGTTTGTGATATAGTCAATGAATTTCTCCTATTATAACACTGGACTGTTCTATGGTTTATCCTGACATTTTTCAGAATCCAAGATTTATTAAAGAAATGGTTTCAATGCCTGGCCATTGTGGCTCAGTGGTTGAATGTCGACACATGAACCTTTCGATTCCTGATCAGAGCAAATGCCCGGGTTGTGGGCTTGGTTCCCAGTAGGGGGCGTGCAGGACACAGCTAATCGATGTTTCTATCTTGATCCCTCTTCCTTCCTGTCTCTCTAAAATCAAGAAAAATACATATTTTTTTAAAAAAAAGAAATGGTTTCAAGAAGGGAATGAATACCCAGAAAAATATATTTACCTCCCTGATTCAGGAAGGTAAAAAAAGCCTTACGTATGCAAATGAGCCATTCTTCCAGAGGAAAATGTCATCAAATTCTCCCGTGATTTGAGCCAAAGCACTCCTGATAGAATTGTTAGCTTACAGTTTGTCCTGCTGCCTCAGCTTTTACTAATTTTTAAAAAGAATATTGACTTGTAATTATCTGGAATAATTATCAACTAATTTTTATGTACCGACTTAAATTTGAGTATATAAATATACTTTCTGTAAAGATATAGACCTTGTAAACTGAATTCTATGTGGATTATAGTATTGTTGTGGATTGTAAATCTTAACATAAGTGACTCTGAGCTCTTCAGTTGATAAACTAGTTGTTCCTTGTAATTATCTGTACTAATATATAAGCAACAAAGTGTGTATATCAGTTTTTATCATAGGCAGTCATAGATCAGATAGTCTCTCTTAATGCTATTAGGAAAGTGCTTTTGCAATTCAGGGACTTGCTTCTAGTTACACATTTATTTTTTCTGCAAAGCACTGTGCCCTTGGATAATTATAAGGCAGTGATTTCAAACTGCTAGTGATGTCCATTAGTAGTCATAGATCAATTTAGTGAGTTATGGAGTAGCATATTTTTTTCTAATTAAGAAAAAAAAAACAGTGCACCTGGCATGTAGTGAACATAAATATTGTTTTATAAATGTTGTATTATTTGTACGTAGGTCCTCACTAGGTGAATTATGTCTTGCTTTACCACTATCAAATAAGTTTGAAATATACTGACATAAGAGATAAACGAATATAAACATTTGAATGAATTTATAACATATTACAATGTTAGTGTAAGAATTTTATTTGCTTATGTAAGAAAACACTGAAGACAGGTTGGACAGTCTGTAGACAATGTACCTAAGTGTTAGGAAATGTGCACTGACATGCACATTGACTTCTGTAAGATATGACTATGGTGGTTCTCAGACTTCAGAGGACATATCGATTGCTTGGGATGCTTGTTAAATAAAAGTTCTGCCCTTATGAAGTGGTTAAGCAGGTCTATTATGAGGCTTAGGAATTTGAATTTTTAATAAACACCACAGGTGAGTCTGATGTAGGAGTTCCCCTGGCCACATTTAGAGAATCGTGTGTTTGTCTTTGAGAAATATAACATAGTAGTTAATATTAGTTCTAGTCAGGCTGCCTGGGCTTAAACCCATGTTTCTCCATTATAAACGTTATTATTGATTTTTGTTTGTTTGTTTCTTTAGTTATGTTTTTATGTCTCAGAAGTTTACTTTAATTTTTATTGGTACAAAAATTACTTTTATAATACTTAGGTTACTACTTTAGGTCATCAACATTTGAGAATTAAGAGTAGAATAAAATAGATATAAATTTATCTTTGTTGTAGAGAACAAACAACCTTGTAGAACTAAAATTTTGGTTTGTATAGTATTTCCTAGTGACGTCCTTTTCTACTTATCAAGCTAATACATTCTTATCAGATAAGTACAGAAAAGTGTATAGAGTTTGATTAACAGTTTCAAAATGCATTCTTTTCGCAGCTTCGAGATTGTATCCAAAAGACCTTGAATGAGTGGAGTTCCCAAATCAGCCCTGATTTGGTCAGGGTGAGTAAAATGTGGGTCAAGAAATCATGTAGTCCAAAAGGGAAGTGAAGTAAGCAGGAGATTAATTTCCTTAGTTTTGATAGGGAAGACAAATAGACAGTTAGCATAAAACTCCCTATGGCTAATATGTTGAGATGGCAGTCTGACTCAATAAGCTTAAGCTTAAACAGAAAATCTAGACCGTATGGTCAACTCTTCAACTAGACAACATACTAGGATTCTCGGGACTTAATTCCCACCAGAGTTTTCTCATAATGTATTTTGCTCCAATTTGTATTTGGCCTGATAAAGGAATAACTATTATTAAATAGTTTTGGTTGGTAAATTGTTTTGGTAGAATATCACCCCAATAATATAGTCACTAGAAATTATTTTTTAAATGTCAGTTTCTGCTGAAACAGTAAGGAACTGTGTTTCATTAAATGTCAATATATGACAGTATACAGAACACTTGTCTGTAAACCACTCTTTGGGATCCAAATCAGCCAAAGGTATATAACAAATTACATAGACTGCTTTAAAACAATGGAGCAAGTTGTATGCTGGATATACTTGTTCCCCTGAGTGTACTGCAAGTTTTATAACTTGATAGCTGCTAGACATGCATTGATTAATTTCTATTACCAGTCTCTGTTTCTCTAAAATGACCATTTACCTTATTTATGCATGATTAATAAACACTTACTGGCCAGGCATTGTAATACGCTCAAGACTTGTGAGAAAGACCTCACTGTTTACTTTGTTTAAAATGTCTGTGATTAATGTTGAAAGTTTGTAGCATGTCATTATCCAGAATGGATAATAGTATTTTTCATTGATTTCTTTTCTAAGTAAAATTATTTACGGTACTAGTGGTTCTAACTCCTTACAGGCCTCCTGCCCTCCACCCCCATTTATTTGTGTGTGTGTTGTAATCTGAGTACCTGATCAAAAGGAGACACTTTTCCCCAGAAAATG